CTTCACTAACTCTTAACAGTTAATGGACGCTCACAATCTCCTATTTAACCTAGGGCTATAGTGTGAGGTGCAAGTACTGTAAGGAGGGGGGTATGTCACATGACCCCCCCACTTGCAGAAAGCATAGCATGAAACCTGAAGTATAATGGAAGTTTAGCTCAACAGAGAGACTAGATTGTAGAATATAGTTTCAGGTTTATTCAATATCCCTTTATATATCCATCTAAAATAATGTTAGCTAATAATGTGTCATACCACTGGTTGTTTTCATTCCCTATAGCAAAAACTGTGGCAATGTCAAATAAACAGTTCAAAAAGTATTTCTAGAACACAGTGAGAAGAAGGTTGTAGGTATGTGTTAAATCTGTCAAGGTCAACACAAAGTTTAATTAGAGCATTCACCCACCTTTTTAATAGGTTGTTTAAAAGATAAGTCAGTCACAAAGCATTGTGTTTTTAAGTATAACCAGTGAAGCCTGCCAAATTGACTCGGATTCATATTTAAGTTAATTTGTCTGCGTTATCAAGACAACTCTGTAATTATAAATTGTGATTGTCATGCATTAAATGTATCCGTGTTCCTGCAAGGATTTATAATTTCATGACAAATATTCATTATACCTACAACAAGCATTCGATTTTCATTTTTGACAAACATGTAATTTACTATGCTACGCCACCACTTTTATAAAAATGTACCCAGTTTTTATGTTCTCATTCAAGTGTGTTCCTGCACACTTTCTGAATTCCTGAAATGTCTTCTCCTTATTTTTCTGGTACAATAATTTTTTTATTAGTTTTTCTCTTTTTTCTTGTTTGAAAAAATAGCAAGCTACAAACAGTTAGAAAATAAGGTCCCTCACAGAGGAACAAATGTCAGAAATACAATACAATAAGAGACACATAAAAAGATAAGCCTTCAACAAAAGAGTGCCCAAACTAGAGCAAAATGAACCTGAGTAAAATACCCAGCAGAGGTAAATTGTGCAGTGGGCTGTGGGCGGGGGGGGGGGGGGGGATAACATAGCAAAAGATCAAGGAGGAGAGAAGTACAGTTAGAAACAGAGTTAAGAAGAAAGAATCGGAGATAAGAGAACCTGAGGGCAAGGACCCCCCTTAAAAGCGGTACAAACCCAAGCTGTATTCGGGAAGTGAGGGTGAGCATAAGACCACCAAGGGTTTCAAATTTTCAGGGACCGAGGATGAGCATCATTAAGGATACTTGACATTTTCTCATGAATCATGAGGGTGGTCATAATATTCTTCACTTCCGCAACCTGAACAGTTGGTTTTTTCCAGGCCCAAGCAATGGCCCTTTTAGCCGCTATGAAAAGATAGGTAGCCAATTTCTGCTGATGGGACAAGAGGCTAGAAAGTGGACAATGGAGGAACACATGAGGGGAAACTCTATGGAAGGTAGAGTGAAAAAGGGTCAGCAAAAGGCCATAGACTCTGGACCAAAAGCCCTCTAGCCGAGGGCATGTCCACCATACATGGAGCTCATATCCACGGGATTCTGCAACCTCTAAAACATCGATTGCCACAGGATGGGTTAGCATGGGCTACCTTACATGCTGCCTCCATAGTGGCATTGTTAAAAGAACATTCGGCCACAGCTGTCCAGGCACTACTGCAAACCTCCGGGGACAATTGGACAGCGAGATTGTGTTCCCATTTTAAAACATAGGGATGGGAGCTAGGAGAATGTTCCAAAAGAATGTGTGAATAAAGAGTAAAGAGATGGTGCCCCGTGTACCAGGGGAGTGCTGGCAAATGTGTTCAAACGGTGTTTTCCAAAGCGAAATACGGATTCACGGCAAAGAGAGGAAATCCAGTGTCTGAGCTGTATATAACAATACCATTCTGCCAATGGGGCTTCATGAGTTTCGCAAAAAGAGGACCAGGAAGGACACGAATGAGAGTTCAAAAAGTGACGTACATGGGAGTAGCCATAAGTGGGCCACCAGGCAAAGACATGGGGTTGTGTTAGACCTGGGGGGAATAGGGAATTGTGCAGCAGGGGCAGAAGAGGAAGAAAGGGGGACATCAGTTTGGCCGAGAGGCGAATTGAATCCCAAACACTCAGGCTATGAGTCATGAAGGGTCTAATAGGATGTCAGAGATAGTATGAAGTAATGTTAATTGGGACTGCTAAGTAATATTTTGTTACATTGGGGACCCCAGGGCCCCCCTCTCAACCGATGGACATAAAGGGTGGTGCTTGCCATTCTGGGGAGTTTGTTGGCCCAAATGAAAGCCAAAATCTTATTTTGAAAAGAACGCAGAAAAAATGATGGAACATGGACCTAGAGGGTCCTGAAAAAATAAAGGAATTTAGGAAGGACAGTCATCTTGATGGCTTTGATTTGCCCTATCCAGGAAAGAAAGGGAAATGCCAAGAACACAGATGGGAAGTTACAATTCGCAAGAGGGGATAGTAGTTAGCAGCAAAGAGGGAAGAGTAGGAAGAGGACAATTGCACTCCAAGGTAAGTGAGGGAAGAGGCTGCCCAGCGGTATGGGAAAGAAGATTGGACAAGGGAAATCATAGGGTCCAGAGGGAAACGTTTAAAACAATCATTTTGTGGGGGTTAACTTGGAGGCCTGAAAATTTCATTAGAGATTGTAAATACTTATTAACACGTGAACTTAGAATTTTACCTAAGAGTTTCATGTCCTCATTTAGCAGAGAGATAGGGTCAAAGGCTTGGGGTTCATGAGCATCGGTATTCGATTTCGGTATCATGGAGATATGGGCTAAAAAGTGAGTCAGAAACAAGCCTGCCGTGTTGTAGTAGGCAGTCAAACAGGGAGCCAAAAGCAAAGAAAATTTGCGATAATAAAGGTCAGAAAAGTCGTCCGGACCCAGGGCCTTCGAGGGTCGGATGGACTTAATGGCCTGCAGCACCTCCAAGACAGTAACCGCAGCATTCAGAGTGTCACGCGCCGATGTCGGTAGAGACGGGAGGTCAAGATCAGGAAAGAAGGCATCTGCCTTGACGATAGGAAAGGGGACAGGCTGGGAATAAAAGGAAGAGAGAAAAGTAGCAAAGGACTCCACTATATTTTTAGGGTCAGATGAGAGTTCACCACTCACCATATGCAGTTTGACAGGCTTATGGAGATGAACAAAAGAGTTCAGCCTCCAGGTCAACATAGCACCTGGCTTATTAGCAGAAGAAAAATATTTATGCCTGGCTCAGGGCCTCTTTTCCGCTTGGTTGTAAGCCAGAAGATCCAGTTCCACGGCAACACTATCATGGGCTTTCCGTGTCCGAGCGGAAGGAGAAGATTTCCAGGTCACCTCTGCCTCTGCTAGACAAGCAGTGAGATCTCAAAGGCTCTATTCCTGTTCATGCTTGCGGACGGAGGCAATTTGAATAAGGTAGCTCCACATTGTGTCCTTGTGTGCTTCAAATCGAGCGGGTCGTGGTCTGACCAGGGTGATGAGTGGATCCGGACCCGGTCGACTAAGTGCAAGGATTTAATAAAAAAGGCATAAAAATATGATCAATCCAACAAAAGCTATGGTGAGGGACAGAGTAGAAAGTGAAATCCCGCTCATGGGGGTGAAATTCACTCCAGACATCAACCAGACCGTGAGAGTGTAATAGCGCACGCATTTTCCCCTCGGTCGTTAGATCATGGGTCGGGAAAGGTTCCAGGGCATAGCGCCTATCAACCAAGAAATCCAGCATGACATTCGAGTCCCCCAAAAGAATGAGGGTACCCGAGATGTGGAGGGAGATAGCCTGGAGAAGAAACATATTTATGTTGGAATTGGTTGGGGGCATAGTAGGTTACCAACATGACCTCTTGGCCATTTAGGGCACCTTGAAGAAGAAGATATTTACCCATGGGGTCTGCAATCTGTTTCTTGCAATCAAACAACAGGGGATGGCGAAAAGCAGTCAAGACCCCCCTACGTTTCTCAGGAGCTGAAATGATATGAAAGGCAGGGTAGTGAGGAGAAAGATATCTGGGAGCTGAGGTGGGTGAGAACCTGGTCTCCTGCAGCCAAACAAGGTCAATACAGCTGGACTTAAGAGAGTGGAAAACTTTAGACTGTTTAATAGGTAAGTTGAACCCATGAATATTGAGCGAATAGATCTTCAGAGGAAAGGAAGCCATCACTTGGAGATAAAGGTTAAGCACTCATACAATAACCTCCCCCCCCCCCCAAGGCCACCTGCATCCCACTGCAGAAGGTCACATCATCAAGGGGGTCCCCGACACACAGGCTCAGAATCGAAAAAGCAGATAAGAAAAGGAAGGAAAGCTGGAAAAGGAAAAAGACAAGAAGAAAACAGACAAGAGAATGAAGGCAAAAAACACTTCAAAAGTTGACCACATCACAATCAGGGATGTGAGATGCAAGGGAGCTCTACCACCAGACACATGGTTGCTAGTGGCCTGAGGGCCAAAGTACTATATAAAAGGACGAGGGTCCCCACAGGAGTGGGGGAAAGGGATGGGGAAGGGTAGGGAAATGGAAGGGAGACATATGAAACCACATACAGAAACATTGCCAAGGCCAAGCTCATTGTCTACATCCGGGGGCAGCCACACCCGCAAGTCACGGGGGGAGGGGCTGGAAAGTGGGAGCAGTGAAAATCACCCAATATTAAAGGTGGCTCATAAAGCAAGCCAGTAATAAACCTAAAAAAAAAAACAAGCAAGCATCAGAAGAACATATTATAGAAACAAGCTATATTCACCATCTTTTAGGATGTACATGGATGTCTGACTATTTTTTAAGAAGCGCATTTGTGAGGTCAAGCACTGATGTTGGATGAGAAGGAGCCTGGCTTGCAGTCTCTGCTCTAATTCATCCCAAATGTGTTTTATCAGATTGAGGTCAGGACTCTGTGCAGGCCAGTGAAGTTCCTCTACCCCAAACTAGCTCATCCATGTCTTCATGGACCTTGCTTTTTGCACTGCTGCACAGTCATGTTGGAACAGGAAGGAGCCATCCCCAAACTGTTCCCACAAAGTTGGGAGCATGAATTTGTCCAAAATGTCTAGGTATGCTGACGTCTTAAGAGTTCCCTGAAAAACAACCCCACACTATTATTCCTCCAAACTTTACACTGCACAATGCAGTCAGGCCAGTACCGTTCTCCTGGCAACTGCCATACCCAGATGCAACCATTGGCCTGCCAGACAGAGGAGCAGACAACATGTCTCCACTGCTCTAGTGTCCAGTGACAGCGTGCTCTACACCACTGCATCCGACACTTTGCATTGCACTTGGTGATGTAAGGCTAGGCTGCAGCTGCTCTACCATGGAAACCAATTCCATGAAGCTCTCTATGCACTGTTGTTGTGATAATCTGAAGGCCACATGAAGTTTGGAGGTCTTTAGCTATTGACTAGTTGGCGACTTCTGTGCACTGTGGGCTTCAGCATGCGCTGACTTCAATCTATCATTTTTCATGGCTGAGTTGCTGTTGTTCCCAGTTGCTTCCAATTTGTTATAATACCACTAACAGTTGACCATAGAATATTTAGTAGCAAGGAAATTTCACGGATGGACTTATTGCACAGGTGACAACCTATCACGGCACCATGCTTGAATTCACTGTGCTCCTGAGGGCAACCCATTCTTTTACAAATGTTTACAGAAGCAGTCGGCATGCCTAGGTGCTTGATTTCATATACCTGAAGGCCATGGGAGTGATTGGAACACTTGAATCCAATGATTTGGAGGGGTTTCCCAATACTTTTGGCAATATAGTGTATTTAAAGTGTATTTTTCCACCCTGTGAGTAAAAAAAAACATTGTTACCATCATGATTGGGATATGAAACTAGTTCCTGTTTTCTAAATGATTCAGTTCTCCAGTGTGTCAAAATTTTGTTACCTTAACAGTAGTTTTAAAAAGGTTGTGGGATTAAAAATACCTCCAGCAGAATGCCCTAGAAACGTATGACTTGATGCAAGTATCCTGCATGTCCCCAACATTTGGCACACTTTACCACGCACTGCAATAAAAAAAAATGCATATTTCTGTAACCCATTTGCTGCCAGAACAATTCTTGTCATTTGTCACACACACACTAAAGTGCACAGTTTTGACCTTAAGATTACTCCCCCCCCCAAATGTTGTATGTTTTCAAAAAGAAGGTCTGTGGAATAAAAAAAAGCATTGTAGCTTCAAATTTTTTGTCACGCAATATTGTGTATATTATAGTAACCTAATTTTTTAGTAAATGATGGACTAAAATTATAAATACAAAGAATGTGTTGCACAATCACTTTAGGAATAATGTGCAAAATAGGGCATAATAGTGCAAAAAATAAGTTTTTGCATAGTGCAAAAATGTGTTGCACTATCTTTTTAGAAATCAATGAACCATATATTATATATATTATGTGATTCATAAAAAATGTGCAAAATAATGCAGAAAAGGTGACTAGTGCAGTTCCTATTAAACTTCCATGAATGTTAAACAATGAGAAAAATGGTCCCTTTCAAAATTTTGAAAAGCCAAGAGTAAAATGTGTCACTTTCCTCTGCCAACATACTGTAGATAACACACCTCTAACCAGAGATTAAGACCCTTTAGGTATAGGAGATCTAATGCACTTCCCTAGACAGTGGGTTAAAACAAATGGCAATCACAGGTAGGATTCTTCAATTCACCAATAACCTCCACAGCATCTGGTTATAGAATAGCCTTATTAAGAAAGAAAGGACTCCACATAGCATATTATTGTAAAAGCTCTCATATGTATTAAAAGAATGAATATTCACAAGAAAAGTTAATGAATCTATGAAAAAGCCATGCTGCTAAGCACACTTGAACAATGAAGTCAGCTCTGGTTGACGCGTTTCATCATAATCAACATCATCAGGGGCTCCAGATGACGTCAGTTTTGCACTATGCATAAGGTTGTTTGTATTTTTTCACATTTATTATGAATCACATAATTTATATGATATTTGGTTTTATGGTTTTCCTAACGTGATGGCGAAACACATTCTTTGCTCTTGTATGTATTACTTTTTAATATCTGTTTATGGGTATTGTTTTATTATTATGTAAAGTTACTAATTATGGGTGAACCATTCCTGCCCAGTGTTGCCATGTGCAATGGTTGCCATCTTGTGAGTGTTTATAACAGGGCTTAAAATTTCAAGTCCTGAGCTACTAGCCAGGCCTTAAGAGTTACTCGCCACCAACAAACACACACAAACAGAGACACCTGTACACACACACAGACATGTACATACACACAGAAACATGTACATGCACACACAGAGACACATGTACACACACACACACACATACAGACACATGTATACACACACAGGCACGCACAGACACGCTTACACACAGATACATGTACATACACAGAAATACACATGCACAGACACATGTACATACATACACAGACAGACACATGTACACACAGAAACATGTACGTACATACACACATGTACATGCACACACACACAGACCCATGTACACAAACACAGACACATGTACACACACACATGCATGTACATACACACAGACACATGTATAGATACATACATGTACATAGACACAGACACATGTACATGCATAAACAGACACACATGTACACACACACACGCACACCCCCTATAAAAAGTTGCAGTACTTCATTGTTCACTCACAGATCCGGGTACTGAACTCTAGGGGGAGGCAGAGAGCACAGCACACACTCTTTCCTTTGCTTTCACTGCGCTCAGCTATTTAGCAGTCTGACGGCTCCCAGTGCTGATGACAGTTCCGGCCTGAGCTCTGAGCCTGCTCAGCAAGACGGCCCTGGGGGACACACTCACCCCCACCATAATTTTCACTCACCATTGGCGAGCAGGCGAGTGGAAATTTCAAGGCCTAGTTTATACTTTTTCTTTATTTTGCCATTTTTATGCAGGAGCTGTTTCTGGATAGATTTATTTAAGCTGGGATTTTGCATATTTTACTTTTTTAGTTGGACTGTTGTGATCTGCTCCATTTGTGATCTTTCTTTGACCTCTACCTTTTATATGATTTTTTACCTTTGCACCTTTGTAATGTCATCCCTAGGGAGTGGTGTTTGCGGGTGGGACTGTGGATTTATTGGTCTGTTCACTTCCATGTTTTAGTGTCTTCATAAAGATAGATTGAGCTTCATGGAAACTTTGACAATAAAAAAGCAGCTCTTTTGAGCTATCTCCTCTGCAAGACCTGCAAGTGTCTCTATACCAGTTTTGGATTTGTTTATGGGTATTTGTGGATGATGCTATCTGTTTTCAAATATTTAATTTTGATTTGTAATTTTCACTGAGTTACCACAAGTTTTTAATGCACTAAAATGAATTTCAGCGCCCACAAGCACATTAAAACCCATATTTCTTAATAAAATGTGAAAGATGACATAGTTTCAAGAAAATAAATGTCAAACACTGCAAATCTAAAAACTGCATCTGCCCTAGAAATGGCAACAACCTACAATGCCCAATATTGACAATAGGCGGTGATTTAATTTAATTAATCTTTACAACTCATCAGTTTAGAGTTAACCATACAGTAAATAATAACCCAGGATTTATTTTTATGTCTTTTCAGTGTGTGCGTTGCTTCTCAATTTGTAGCTGTGCTTACCTTTATATATGTGTGCTAAAGCAGAGGCAGCCTGACCGATTCAACAACAGCTATAAAGGAGATGGCTGCAGCTAGTTTCAGCTTTGAGTGCTTTCCTGAATCAAGAGACGGCAAAAGTAGTGCATGGGGGATGTGAGCTTCTATATTCTTCTTCCCTCTTGCCATTCCTCTTGACTCCTCTTTGTAAATGTCACTTTACATCCTATAGCAAAAATGGAAAAAAAAAAAAAAGTAAAAACAGCTTGAGGAAACTCTTAAACTCTTCAGTATGGATTTTAAGGAAGAACACCACAAACAAATGTATGAAGAACCCCAAAATCCATACCAGATCCTTAAGCTTGGCAGTACAGGAAAGGAGGGAATGAATGTGTGCTCTCCTGCCTCCCCCGAACCATACTAAGATATATGCCCTCAACATGGGGGAGGTACCTTGAACCTTCTATATTATTAATTTAAAATGCAATGTTTATGTCAGACTGACATTAACGGGGAAACTAAAACTCCATTTAATTTCCTGTATTCTTCTTTTACAGTAAGTATATAAGAAAGGCCACAACTCTACTGATATCAATGCTTTGTGAGTGGACTGTTTTTAAATTTGGTCACTGGTCACTTTTTTCTAATACTATTTGCTATTTCTCACTTTTTATAACCTCATTAAATGGGAGACCTTTTTCTTTCCTGCAATAAATAAATGGACAAATATTTAAGTTCATATTATAACTGGTATTGTGTAGTCAACTGCATACTAAGAAGAGTATTTTACATACATAGGTTTTGTGTATACTATAAACATTTTTAGAATCTGGATGTTATATTTAAAAGAAATGTGGTTTGCAATATATCAATATGAGCGCAAACCACTAATGCTTTTACCTGGATTCTCATAACAGTTGTATTCCAGTAAATTGATTTTTTTTTCTACAATGTCTGACAGTATTCCTGTCACATCTTCTACAAATACAAGTTACAATAACTACAGCCATATCTGTATATTCTTTGATTACTATCTTTTGCACTCTTTCTAGCACTGGTTGTCTTATACCAATCACTCTGTTCTCTGCTCACCCAAGAGTTTAATAACATTTTAAATAAAGTTTCAGATACAATCTAGTAGAAAATGTATCAGTTTTGATCATAATCTTATATTTTGATGTAACCATATGTTACTTAGTATAGTGCTGTCGTATTAGGTAGTTGATACTATATTTTGTCTGATGTGAATTTCATAATAAATAAATGGAGTTGTAAAGTGGAAATAAAATTGTCCCATACATTTTTCTCTGCTTAGATGCTTCACAATTATCTGTTTATGTGTCTTTTATCAAATAAACCACATTTGAATCTCTGTGTAATTTGATCATCCATCTTTTTTGACAGCTTTGACATGTGTTTTTAGTTTCTTATTTGACCATGTAAAATTAAGTGACTGCCCTTATCAAATTGTACTTTTGTCATCAAAATGTGGCCAAATGAGATACTGTACTTGATTCCACATTAGGCTCTGAGCTTATTTAAACTGACCTGTCTGCAATTTTTTTATAGTGTATTACTAAAATCACTGAAATTTTTTTTGGCATTGACATCACTGTTTGCTTTGTGATCTCTGAAAGGGGTGGTGAAAAAAACTATATTTTCTACTTACTGTTATAAAATATATCCAATAAACTCAAATTTAGTCATAAATTTAGGCCAAAATGTATTCTGCTACATGTTTTTGGTAAAAAAAAATCCCAATAAGTGTATATTGATTGCTTTGTGTGAAAGTTATAGCGTCTACAAACTATGGCTATATTGACTATGCTGCAATTTACGCCATTTGTTTGCTGCACTAGTTTAACTGAGAATTGTGCAGTCATGCAATATGGTAAATAAATGAAATGTACGTCCTTTTTTTCACACAAATAGAGCTTTCTTTTGGTGGTATTTGATCACCTGTGTGCTTTTTATTTTTGGCGCTATAAACAAAAAAAAAAATAAAAAAAAAAGAAAAAGGGTAAAAAAAAAAAGAACGATATTTTCTCATTTCTGTCATTACAAATATCCAAAAAACTCAAATGTCATTATAAATTTAGGCCAAAATGTATTCTGCTGCATGTTTTTGGTTAAAAAAAATCTCAGTAAGTGTATATTGATTGCTTTGTGTGAAAGTTATAGCATCTACAAACTATGGTATAGATAATGGAATTTACATAGCTTTTACTGACTGCCCATCACATTTCTTAAGGTGCTAAAATACCAGGCAGTACAAACATCTCCAAATAACCCCCTTTGAGAAAGTAGACACCCTAAGCTATCTGCTGAGAGGCATATTGAGTCCATGGAAGACTTATTTTTTCCAAAAATATTTGGAAAATTACAAAAACATTTTTTTTTCTTTACACATCATTGTCATTTAAATTATATATTTCTCACACAAGCCATGGGTATATGTGAAACTACACCCCAAAATACATTCTGCTACTTCTACCGAGTATGGGGATACCACATGTGTGAGACTTTTTGAGAGCCTAGCCACATACAGGAGCCTAAAATCGAAAGACCACTGTGAAAGCCTGAAGGTGCATAATTTCCTCATTTCACTTTCTCACTACCTATCACAGTTTCGGAGGCCCTGATATGCCAGGATAGCACCAAACCCCCTCCCCCCGAATGACCCCTTTTTGGAAAGTAGACACCCCAAGGAATTTAAAAAGAGACATGGTGAGTATTTTGCAGATCTCATTTTTTTCTCATAAGGTTTTGAAATATAAAATAAGAAAATAAAAAAATATTTTTTTGTTTTCTTTCTTCATTTTCCAAAAACTTGTGGCAACAAACGAGATCTGAAAAATACTCACCGTGCTTCTTATCAAATTCTTTGGGGTGTCTACTTTCCAAAAAGTGGTCATGGAGGGGGGGTGTTGTGCTATCCTGGCATTTCAGGGCCTCTGAAAGTGTGATAGGAAGTGTAATGAGGAAATAAAGCTCTTTAAAAGCCTGAAGGTGCTTATTGGATTTTGGGGTCCTGTACTTTGCTAGACTGACAAAAAGTCTCTTACATGTGGTACCCCATACTCAGGAGAAGTAGCGGAATGTATTTTGGGGAGTAATTCCACATATACCCATGGCATTTGTGAGCAATAAATCATTTAAGAGACAATTTTGCTTAAAAAAAAAAAGTGTAGTAAAAAATAAATTCTTCTATTGACTCAACATGCCTCTCAGCAAATAGTTTGGGGTGTCTACTTTACAAAAAGGGGTCTATTTGAGGGGTGGGGGCATTTTATGCCCAGCATTAGAAGTTTATACCACGCATCATTCACTCTTCTAACCACCTGAAGATCAAGACTTTTCCGACACTTTTTGTTCACATGAAAAAAAAAAATCAGTATTTTTTGCTAGGAAATTACTTTGAACCCCCAAACATTATATATATGTTTTAAAGCAGACACCCTAGTGAATAAAATGATGGGTGCTGAAATTTATTATGTCACATAGTACTAGTGCATTGATTTTTCAAACGCAGGTTTATTGCAAAAAATACACTTTTTTTACCTTTAATGCACAAAACACAATATATTGGTCAATTAATTGGTAAAATATAAAAGATGATGGTATGCCAAGTAAATGGATACCAAACATGACATGCTTTAAAACTGTGCATGCCACAGTTTTTACAGATCCTTTACAAGCTACCATTTTTTAGATTTACAGAGGAGGTCTAGTGCTAGAATTACTACCCTTGATCTAACGTTCTCGGCGATACCTCACATGCATGGTGCAACCACTGTTTACATACTGGCACAGGGTCAACGCTCACGCACACAAGTGCGCGCGCGCGCGCGCGTAGGTGGGCGAGGGTGCTTTTTTTTAAGTTATTTTGATTTTTAAAAGAATTTTTACACTGTCTCTTTTATGTTTTTTTGTATCACTTTTAATGCTAAAACAGAGAATGCAAATATCCCCTATAACTTCAATGGGCATTGTCATATATTCTTTTTTGAGAAATCTGGGGTCTATCAGACTCTAGATATCTCCTCTGCCTTTACATTATCTAATCTCACCAAGATTGATGTGATGATATGCTTTCCCAATTTACAAATGATGCTGTTTATATCCTGCGAAACTGAAGTGACGAAATGCTCGTAACTTCCGATTTCTTAGACTATAGAGATGATTGGTGCCATTCTGGTCTCCAATCAGCTCTATGGCCATCTGGCAGAAAAAAGTCCAGTGATGTACCAATACGTCGCTGGTCCTTGTTGGGTATATACTG